CACCTTGACCGCAGACCGCCTCGAGGCAGGCACGACCTGCGACGCAACAGGCAAGATGGCAGCCGGCGGACACTAAGCCGTTCTGACTAGCGCGCCTGCCTCCTGCCTTCTCCTGCCCTCTGGTCTGCCCTCTGCCCTGCTGCCCGGCTGCGTCCTGCCCTTCTCGCTTCCCCTCCTCTCGCTCCCCACCCACCGTCCGCCTGACTCTTCTCTCTTCCTGCCCTCGCGCCTGCTCAACGCCCGTCCCCTCGCCATCTGTATATCTGGTCCGCCATCCCGAGTACCATCGCCCGCTGTGCCCTGCGCCTGTGCTCGTGCCGCTCGGTCGAACCCTGGCAAAGCTTAGTTCGATCTGCCGGGTTCCGTGGGCGAAGCGCGCATCTCCCGTGGTTGCTGCGGATCCATGACATCGTGCCTGCGTCCGCACCGCAGCTGTCACCAACTGCCCGCGTGGACGCCCTGAGCTGTTGGTCTCTTGTACTATATAACAACTCTCTCCCTGCTGCCCCGTCGCCGACAGCCGCCGTTTCGTGTGTGCTGCGCCAGCAGTGCTGCCGCGGAGTGTGGTCATCCGACCCCTCCTCCCGCCATCCACGTCGACCATCGCTTCTCTCCTCCTCCTCTTTCCGCCAGAGACCGCCTTCCCAGGGTCTGTCATCCGAGTCAGTCCTTCGATCCGCCGGAACGAGTGCTCCCTGACTGGTTCAGCCCGCCCTCGACGCCGCCTGAGGTCAATCGTGGACACGAGGACACTAACGAGAGGAGAGAAGAAGAAGAAAAAACTTTTTTTCGTCCAGCTCACGTCGGGGGAAGGCTGCCTCGAGTCGATGCCGAATTGTGACGTCTTTGCTGCCTGGGGCCGGTGCATGTCGAGGCGCTTTATTTAACCCGTCTGCTCCCATCTCACCGTCTGCGGTTCCATCTTCTCTGAACCATGTACGCTGTTGAGCAGCAAGACAGGTCCCATCCGATCCCTCCTCCTCCGCCACCGCTTTCTATGGATCGCATTCCTCCTACGTCGACTGCCTACCCGAACCCAGCTCCCGGCGGCGGCCCGCTGCAGCAGCGGTCGAACGACCATCTCGCCCCGGTGTCGACCGTCCACGATGGACGCATCTGGTCCTTGCATGTCGTCCAGCAGCCCATCCGCGCGCGCATGTGCGGGTTTGGCGATAAGGTGGGTTTTTTTTTTAGTGCGATACAGCTGGATGTCGAGCTGACAGAAAATTTCACAGGACCGTCGACCGATCACGCCACCTCCCTGCATCCGGTTGATCGTGCGGGATGCCCAGACCGAAAAGGAGGTCGATATCAACGAAATCGACACCTCGTTCTACGTCTTGACCGTCGATCTATGGAACGCCGAAGGGACAAGTGAAGTGAATCTCGTCCGCCACTCGGCCACGTCGCCGTCCATCTCGACGGCCACCTCTTCATCCTACCCCCCGCCGCCTCAGAACATCTCCCCGACCTATCCGCCGTATGGGCAGAATCCGTACGGCCAGCAGCCGATGGGGTATGGGCCGGTAGGCCCCTACTATGGCGGCAACCAGCCGATGCCGTATCAGAATCCGTACGGGGGCAATCCGCAGGGGCCCTACTACCCGCAGTATTACGGGCAATCGGGGCCTCTGCAGCATGCCAGCATGCCGGCGGGCCAGCAGCCCATGTCGGCGCCGGGAGGGATGTTCACGCGGAATCTGATCGGCAGTCTGAGTGCCAGTGCATTCCGGCTGACGGATCCGGACAACAAGATTGGGGTGTGGTTTATTCTGCAGGACCTGAGTGTGCGGACCGAGGGAACGTTCCGGTGAGTATTTCTTCCCTCAGTGTCCTTGAGTGAACCTGTCACTAACGACTCGCAGCCTCAAGATGAACTTTGTCAACGTCGGGACCCAGTCTGATTCCAGCAACGGGGGCCCGGTGTTGAACCATGGCTCCGCGCCGGTGCTTGCGTCGGTCTTCTCAGAGCCATTCCAAGTCTTCTCGGCCAAGAAGTTCCCTGGGGTGATTGAAAGCACGCCGCTGAGCAAGTGCTTTGCGCTGCAGGGGATCAAGATCCCGATCCGCAAGGACGGGGTCAAGGGGAGAGGACAAGGAGGCGAGGGGGACGACGAGTACGACTAGGAGCTTGCTTGGTGTTTGGTTTTGGGTACATAAGATACTCCTTCGTTTGCGTTTGTTCTTTTCGGAGTTTGGAAGGAGTGTTAGAGGCGTTCCCGGATGTGAAAATCACTGGGTCTGTATATCGGGTGGATATCCTGGTTGCGGTTGTTTTACGAGATGTTACTGCTGGCAGTTACTGGCAGTTACTGGCTGTTTTCCTCTATGATTACTAGTATGAAAATGAAACTAACATTGCAGATGGCAATAATGAGGAGTTTTTTCTGTTTGCTGTTTATTTATGGCATATAACACCAACGAGAGTTGTGTTGTACCTGGTAACAGTGTTTTATTTTTATGGCATATAACATCAGCGAGAGTTGTGTTATATCTGTTTGCTGGTTCTTTTTATGGCAACCCCTGCCTCACATCCGACTTCTCATTCAACCCCCAAGCCATACTACTAGCATCATGCACCGTGGTACGGCGCATATCGCGACGGTAGCGGCCCTCAAAACTACCCCCAGCAGCGCGATGCATAACGCAGGTATTATCCCAGAGGATCAAATCGCCTTCATTCTCCCACTCAACGCTGAGGACATACTTTGGCTGTGTAGCATGAGTGTAGAGGGTATCAAAAAGCGCCTTGGACTTGTCTGGCTCCAAGCCCTCGATATGATGCACATGCGCAGCGATATACAGATTCATTCGCCCCGAGGGCTCATGCCGCTGGACAAGCTTGTGCCTACTCATCGGGAAAGCCGTTGGATCGACGTCCTTGAAGAACTCCGGCGCGGCCGTCTTGCGTGAGTGCCAGAGTGAGTGTGCCGCGATGTAGTCCTTGTCTAGAAGCTCCTGCTTTAGAGCAGGAGGGAGCTCGTCGAACGCTGTGCGTGTATCGGCGTACTCGGTGTTACCGCCTGTGCCTTTGGGGGGGAGTTCGGCCGCGCGAAGTAAAGAGTAGCTTGCTCGTCGGGGGTTGAAGGAGGAGTCGACGTGGAAGAGGGTGTTTCCCTGAAATCCCATATCAACTGTTAGCAGCAGACACCGCCAGGTGTCTGGTAGAGTTTATGTACTATACAGTACATACCTTATTCCAATTTCTCCTCACATCACCCTCAGGAAAAATCGTCCCGTCGAGATCGATATTCCCGACGTCGAACAGCTCAACGTATTTCAGTCGATGAGGCCTGCCCCCCGCCAGGTAAGGCGCCACGTCGTCCAGCTCGCCGAAACGTCGCGAGAAGGCGATGTGTCGCTCGTCGTCGAGGTTGGCGTGGCGGAAGACGCAGACGCCGTACTGGAGGAATAATACCGTAAGTAGGGAGGTAGTCACGGGGTAAGTGAGGGAGGGTGATACCTACCTTGGTAACAGCAGCCAACACCTCCGCGAAAACGTCGTCCGAGACGGGCTGCGAGAAGTCGATGCCGGAGATTTCGGCTCCGAAGGTGGGATGGAGGGGTTTGATGGATATGTGGTTGAATTTGAAGTCGGAGGGAGGAGAAGCAGCTTGGTCTTGGTTTTGGGGTTGAGCTGGAGGGAGTGTGGTAGTAGTGGTGGTAGACATGGTGTAAGCAAATAAGTGAATAAGTGACTAACTATATCTTGCTTTGGAAGAGGTTTATAGTACTGTATAGCAGATGATATACCAGACGATAAAGCTGCAGATAGCTATAAGATAGACAGATAGAGATGATTGACACGTAGATAGATGATGATGATGAAACCTGCGATCCAACAAGCATATATATATACCCCAGAGCCGCCAGACCTTCAGATCATTCAATAACCGAGAATTATCCTTTCTAGCTGATGATAATCCCAGACTAGTTAGTTAAAACTAGATAGTAGATAGGCAAGTTGTTGGTTGGCATATTAGCTATATTGTATACCCGACGGTAGCCACATATACTACAGTTTCTGCGGGGTTGTTCACTTGAGTTAGGTCGATCTCAATTGCCGATGGTAGGTATACACATATATCTATGGAGCTTGTTGCGATTGTTTTTTACTGGTATTTATTCTATGCTATATTCTTTGCTTTATGTGATGAAGATGGACCAGATTGGAGATATATATCCTGACACACACACATAAGTGTACAGTACAGTACATACGTATGTACTAGATCCCTATAAAATAGGATAGATACCTTGTTGGGTATGTTTACTTAGGTACAGTACACACGTACTACGTACGTAGTTAGCTGTAGCTATTACCGATGCTAATCGCACTGCACTGCACTGCACTGCACTGCAGCAAGAGCAATCGATATCCGATGATAAATGTTGGATGATGGACAATGATAATGGATCGGAAACATCACCGATGACATCCATCATCCATCATCCACATCGGGATGGATGGATACCTTGTTCCCCGCATTGTCCGTGCCTTGGATAAGGTTATTGATTTACCCCCGCTCGTCTTGTCGGGTTGTCTTGTCGGTCATCTCTCCTCTCCTGTCGTTTCATTTATTTTTCGGGCGGTATTCGATAGTCGATCGTTGATTGTTTTGTTCCGTCGGACTTCGTTGCGAGGTTGGTTGGTTGGGGCTATCGCGCCATGCCATGTGACGGATGACTCTTACCTACTTAGCTAGGTATGTACCTGGATGTAGGATGGTACATAGTACAGTACTTTAAGTTAGAAATATATAGATGTCAATTGTATTGCAGAGTGCATATATATATGATACTGGATCAGCTGGTCAGACTTTTTTTTGGCTAGTTATTTATATTTACTTGTTTACTGACTTAGCTACTCCAATTATGAAGGTCAAAAAGTATACGATGAGACGGTTAGCGGGGCGCCGGAAACGGCCGCCATTGCACGGTCCATCTGCCGCCCCTCACCGCCTGCCCCCGAGGGTGATCTGATTGCCCGATCCGGCTTAGACAGGGCCAATGTGACCTGTTTGGGGGGTAGCGCCGGCCCTGGCCGCTTTTGCGCGCTCCTGCGGAGCCCGCCCATCTATATAAAGCCCAGGTGCGTCCCTCGACGGCCGACGCCCTCCATCTTCTCTTCTTCCCACTGTCTCCCGGCCTGACGGTCGATGCCGTGCGATCCGATGAGTCCCCTTAACCGGGAAGGTGCCGAGCGTACCCCCTGCACCTCCGGGGTCGCCGGCGGTCAGCTGAG